CTCCAGGCCATGCACTTTACCCACTGAACCACCTAGTTGCAATGCAGTAGAGAACCCCATGAAACTGTGGCCTCAACTCACTGCCAGGTGGGAAGGACCAGAGGACAACCTAGTATGAACTGGTTTCAGGACTGGAGACAACATGCCATTCTCCCCGGAAACGTTGCCATTTAACAAGGGATAACTTTTTATAGTAATAAAAAAGAATTAACCCAAAGGGATAAGACCATTGCACGAGGCATCTTACAAGATGATAACAGAGGGATTACAGTCCTCCTGTTTTCTCTGCCAAGGGGAGCAATCTTTGGGTTGGAAAGCATGGAGCAAAAATAACCAATGAGTGGCTGATGCACAAGGGAAAGGGGGAGTGATTCAGGGTTGAACTAGATGCCCTCTGAGGTGCCCTCCAGCTCAGGGTATCCTGGTCATGTGAGATGGTGACTGGGGCCCACTGTGGTTGGTGACCTGCCCCCTCCCAGCAGAAAGAATCAGCTCCCCCCCCCCCGGTGTCCGGAGCAGTAATTAGCTGTGATGTTTTTAAAGAGCTTTCTCACAGAAATATAGGCCAATTCCGTTTGCAGACTAAGTGGGAAAAAAGGTGTTTAATGCACACGTTGTTAAGAAAAATAATGATTTCCTTTCAGGGCACATATAAAGTCAGACATGCTTTGCAGGCCTAATTAGCCTAAAGCCCAAGTCCCTGGGCAAGTGAATGATGGAAGAAAAGGGTGGTGGGTGCTCAGAATAGGCCTCTTGCTTTCTGTTTTTGAGGATGTGAAGTGGGCTTAGTACATTGGGTATGAGGGCTCTTGATAAGAACAAAACAGACAGAGTGCTTGATAAAAACCAGAATATGATACTGGGATATGAGCCAAAGCTAAGATAGAGCCTAAGGACTCTGGGGTGTATCTCCTGAGTAGGCACCACACCTGTCCCTGTTTCCCAGTGGAGGGAAGCAACCTGGTGATATAAATGGGCTGCTTTCTCTCTTCTCTCTATATTCAAAGTCTGTCTGACTCAGTTTCCTCAAATGTAAGGGGAGATAATAATAGCACATACCTCATAGGGTTACTGGGGATCAAATGAGATAATGGGAACTCTCCCCTGGAGTCTGGGACAGGGGAAATATTCCAGGGACACAGTTCTGAGGACCTTCGGGTTCTAGGCACATGGAGGCCATTCTGGGGACATGAGTGGTCACTGAAGGATTTTGACAAGTGTCTTTCAGTTTTGTCCTGTGTATTTACTGACGCCTCTTTTCTCAGCCTGGTACCTAGTATGAAATTAGTAAAGATTGTTTTGATTGATTGGTTTACCAATGAGCAATAAAAACAGATCTGCGCTTTAGGAAGATGAATATGACCTTGGTATGAGAAGAAATTGGAAGGAGGATGCTGGTGTCAGGGAGGCCAGTTAGAAGGCCCTTCTACTAGGGCATGTGAACAGAGGCCAGAGCCTGAGCTAGGGTGGTGACTATGGGAGATGAAAGGAGCAATATGGGAGAGATATTGGGAAGGCAGAAACAGTGGGATTTGGCAACTGATTGGATGTGGGACGTGAGGAGAGGGAAGGGTCAAGAATGACTCTGAGGATACAAGCTGGGAGGACCAGGGGCATTGAAATGTCCTCAACAAAAATGGAAAAGTTGGGAGGAGGAGCTGCTTTCAGGGGAAGGTGATGAGATCAGCTTTTGGACCTGCCGGGTTTGAGGTGCTGGCGACATTTAGTGGATGGAACTCTTGAATGGGGAGTCAAGAAAACCTGAGTTCAAATCCTGCTTCCAATGCTCCTCAGTTGTGTGACCCTGGGCAAATCACTTAACCTCTTTTAGCCTCAGTTTCTCCATCTGTAAAACTGGGATACTGCCAGGGTTGTTGTGAGGGATCAAGTGAGATGACATATGTAAAGCCCTTTGCCATTCTTAAAGCACATATATAAATATATGAATTATTATTATTAACCAAGTGGAGATGTTTGAGTGAAGGGTTACAGAGGGGTCTGGTCCAGAGAATATTTTTCTGTGTCTTTACATTGTTTTGGGGGTATTTATTTATTCCCCCACCCATGTTTTCATCTAATGCCATTAGAGGTGGGAGAGACCCTGGGTTCTCAAAGGCTATTCCAGATAAATGTAGGGACCTTCAAATCTTAGTTCTAATTCACGTTACCTGTGTGACCTTAGTCATCATTTGGCCTTCCTCATCTTCCACTTCCTCATCTGAAATATGAAGAGGTTGGACCAGATGGTTTCTGAGGACCCTTCTACCTTTAGAGCTAAGGCCCTGTGAGCTGTAGAAGGTCCTAACAAGCTGGAAAGGCTTCAGGCATGGGCAGGGCAATGGACACCATGCCCCTTCTGATGCTGTCTAGTTAAGTACATATAGAGAGGTTTATTTTCACAGGGCTGGACACCAGGGAGGGGGAATTTTTTCATCCATAACAACTCATGAAGATTGTTTATAGGATGTCTCTCTGTGTCAATGAAGGAAATCACCCACATCAATGATATGATAGAACCTGAAGTTGTGAATTATGTGTGCATGGAGTTGTGTGCAGAGCTCCAATGATGTGGAAAAGGGGCTTATTGCAATCTTGTATATACCTGGTTTCCATCTTCATCTTTTCTTATATCAGTTGAGGTAGCACTTTGGGGTTGCTTTTTCTAGGGGTGCTCTCTGTTTGTTTCTCCCTCCCTCTCTCTTCCTCTGTCCTTTGTCTCTCTCTTTCTCTCCTCTTCCTTTCTTTCTCTCCCTGTTTCTTTCCCCCCTCTCCTTTCTCCCTTTCCCCCCTTTTCTCTGTCCTCTGTCTATCTCTCTCTCTCCAATTCTGTCTCCCCTCCTTTTCCTTCTCCCTCTTCCCACCTCCCTCCCCTTCTTTGACTTTCCTTCTTCCTTCCCCTGCCTTCTCTCTCAGGCTCAGACAATGAAGTCATCTTACCTATCACCTGTGGTGGCTGTAAAGGGGCCAGACTCCTTGTTGTCAGGGTAATACTTATCTAGAGGACACTCTAGTATTCTCCCAGGTGCCCGTGGTCCAAGTTAATTCTTTACTTTCTTGGGTGGGGAGATGCCAGTGAAAGGCAGTAGCAGAGCCCTCCTCTATCCCCCAACTCTGTTTAGTCACCAGGGTCCCTAGGTTGTGAAGTTGATCATTGAGTAGTTTTTGATGCATTAGGAAGAGAGGAGGAACCAGCCTTCTCTTCACTCACCTGAGGACCTTGATTCCTACAGAACATTTCCAGCCTGAATCTCCTCATCAGAGAGCATGCCAGTTCCACCTCACATTGGGCTAGAAAGGAAAGCTAGCAGAAGAAACATGAAGCAAATGAATGTCTTGCTGGGCAGCTGTTCCCTGGGCTCTTAAAATTTTGAGTCTTTTTTTTTTTTGGTGAGGCAATTGGGGTTAAGTGACTTGCCCAGGGTCACACAGCTAGTTAAGTGTCAAGTGTCTGAGGCCAGATTTGAATTCAGGTCCTCATGGCTCCAAGGCTGGAGCTGTATGCATTGCGCCACCTAGCTGCCCCACTAAAATTTTGAGTCTTAAAACAAAAACAAAAACAAAATTTTGAGTCTTCTCCTCCAAGGGTTATAGAGTATACAGAGTAAGTAGGCATTGTAGAATATAAGCTCCTTGAGGGCAGGGACTGGTTCTTTTTTTTGTCCCTGTATCCCAGCAGCTGTTAGTGCCTGGCTCACAGAAGGCACTCAATAAATGCTTATTGATCGACTGATCTCCAGCACCAGAGTGGGAGTTTACATGCAGTAGGTGCTTAATCAATGTTGGGATGAATTGTTCTTGAAGCAGCAAACTCCAGCCTGTCTTCAGCTCGAGGAGCCCCTGGCTTGGAGACACTTTCTTCCCTCAGCCCTTCCCCCAGAGTGCCGAATGACCAGGGAACATCTTTTCTTAACCAATAGCATTTTATTGTCAGTTATAAATAGTCTCCATTTGTTCCCTATGTACAGTTGTAAAATAGTTTATGACCTTCCACCCTCACCCACGGTTCAGTATCTTTCTATAAACTCCATGAAAATTGAATAGGAAATGAGTCTCTTTTCTCAGCCTACAAAGCCAGCTTCCACACGGAAAACCCCAAGAAAAGAATACAATAGAGCAGGCGCCGTGCGCTACACAGTAGCAGAAGATGGGAGGGAGAGGGTCCCCTCCCTCCCCAGGGCTGGTCAGGACGACAAGCTCTGCAGGATGTTGGAGATGGACCAGTGTTGGCCAGAGCACTTCTGCAGCACCAGCTGGAACCCAAACTCGTTGTCGCTGTTTTCCTGCAGCTCCAGGCAACGCTTGGACCTCTGGTTCTGGATGGGCCCTTCCTGAAAAGTCAGAGCCGAGAGTTGTGTCAGGGGATCAGTGCAGCACAGGAGCTGGTTATGGGTGTGGGAAGCAAAGTGTGAGTGTGTGTGTCAGGGTACAGGATGAGGTAGGAGACGAGGCAGGGCAAGACATCCCTTTTCTTCTTTTCTTGTTTGTGCCAGGGAAACGGGGAGCTATAGATTATCATGACCACCATATTCAGAGGAGGAATCCCTAGAGGGATGATGACGAAGATAACAACAACAATGGCATTTATATAGTGCTTTGAGGGCCACACATATTATCTCCTTTGATTTTTCACAACCCTGTGAGGTAGGTGGTACTATCCCCATTTTACAGATGAGGAAACTGGGGCTGAGAGATTTTAAGTCAGCTGGTAGATTGTGGCCTTCGAAGTATCAGAGAATCTCAGTTGCAAGAAACCATATTGTCCTATATCTACTAAGGGGGGTAGCTAGGTGGCACAGTGGATAGAGCGCCAGGCTGGGGATCCTCTTTACAGCATGCCTGAAAAGTGCTCATCCAGTCTTTGCTTGAAAACCCCAAGTTAAAGGGAAACCACTATTACCAAGGGAGACAATTCCCCTTTTAGAGATCTCTAACTGGTAGGAAGTTTGTTGTGGTATATGGTATAGTATTTTGATCTAAACCTCATTTCTTCCACACAGCTTTCTACTTCTCTAGCAATTTTTGTCAAAAGTTGTTTCCTATTTTACGTTTATCGAACATCGCTGAAACTAACCCCCTTCATTTTAAATATAAGGAAACTGAGGCTTAGTAAGAAGTGATGTGTCATAAATCACACTGATAATAAGAACCAGAGCCAGAATGTGAACCCAGCTCATCTGACTCCTAATCTAGTGTTCTTCCACTATGCCACACACTTCTTTTGACATATCTAGTAGTGGTTGGCAAAGGCCAAACTTGAACCCAGATCTCTTCTCTGTCAGTCCAGCCCTCTATCTCTTCCAGGGCTCTTTTTGATTTCCCTAAGTAGTCCAGGTTCTCCCTCAGCACCCTCTGAGAAGAGAGTGTGAAAGAGCTCCTTGGGAGAGTTTCAGAAATGGTTCTCTGACTATGAGCGCTAGGAGGATTCTCTGTGGGTGCTTGGGTCAACCTTGGAGAGTGGTTGCCATGCCAAGCCATTTGAAAGCATTAACTGAGCTGGGCAATCCTACTAGACTTCAAGACCAATATTTTTCAATTGTGTGAATTTTTCAACTCAATGTGGCTGCCAAGAAAATGAATATGATCTTAGGCTGAATTAAGAGAGGCACTGTGTACAGGAATAAGGAGGTTATGGTTTCATTCTAACATGCCCTGGGCAGACTGTACCCTCTCTCTCTCTCTCTCTCTCTCTGTACACACACACACACAAACACACACAAACACACACACACACACACACACACGTAGGGAATAGTTAGCAGTTTGACTGAATAAAATGACGTGATTAGAATTAAAACTAAACACTAGCCCCATTGACCAAGAGGGATATTAACCAAATGACGCTGCATCCAAGCTGCCAGGCCCCTCAACTAGTGATCTACTATCCATGGACACATTACTATCAATGGACAGAGCCCAGAACTAGGAGAGAGATAGAGGACCTGGGTCCAAGCTCCACTTAATAGGATTTTGAAATGTAGACCTGGAAAGGATGTTGGAGGTTTCTAGTTCCAATACCATCATTTTTACAGATGGTCAAACTAAGGCCTAGAGAAACTGACTTGTCCAAAGTTGTAAAATAGAAGGGTTGTGATTTGAACTCAGGTCTTCTGATTTTGATTAGGGTTAGGGTTAGTGTTCTTTCCGGTTCATAACGGCAATACCCTCTGCCTCTCACAGTGGTTGTGTCTGATAAGAAAAGATGATCATATCTAAAAAAGGTTTTGTTTTTTTTAAAGTGGAATGTGCATGGGTCCTGCTGTCTACCATGTGCTCCTTTCAGGGATATGTGTTTATAACAGAAGGTCCTCATGGGCAGGGAGGGTATCTCAGTAGACATCGATGTCTGAGTGCCCAGTACAAGTGTAACACATACCTGTTTGTGATAACTTGGGAGCATGGTTTACTGGAAAGAGCACTGACTTTGTGGTCAGCACCACAGAACATTGGAAAAGAGTTTTGGATTTGGAGGTGCAGGACCTGAGTTTGAATTCTATCTCTCCCACTTACTACCAGCTAGATGTCAAAGAGGTCACTGGGCCTGGAGTCAGGAAGACCTGAGTTCAAATATGACCTCAGACAGTCACTAGCTGTGTCACTTTGGGCAAATCACTTAACCTCTGTCTGCCTCACTTTTTCTTATCTGTAACATGGAAATAACAATAGCACCTACCTCCTAGGGTTGAAGTGAGGATCAAATGAGGTAATATTTTCAAAGTGCCTGGCACATAGTAGGCACACTTAATAAATGCTTGTTCCCTTCCCTATATGACTTTGATCAAATTACTTCCCTTCTTGGACCTACAGTCTCTTCCTCTATGAAATGAGGATAGTCAGACCCCTGACTCCCTATTTCATAGGACTACTGCAAGGATTACACTAGAAAATGAATAGAAGATACAGTGTTAGTATAAATTGCTATTGAGATATGAGTGATACATATATATATATACATATATATATACATATATATATATACACACACACATACATTGTAGGCCTTTTGGATTTGGATGTTGGAAGAGGTGGGATGTGGGAAGATGTGGGAGACCTCTGTCAAGTGGTGCAAAAGGAATAGAAAAAGTGAATTTGGGCTAGATTCGATCAATGGTTCATTCTCTCCTGTTCGCTCTCTTCATCCAAGCTTAATCCATTCCATTGACCTTCTGGGCCTCTGAAAGTAGGCTGGCTTTGGTTCTGTCCCTTCACTAAGAGTTTTGGCAGCCTACGAGGGTGAATGGGGCTGCTGGGCCATCTCCTGGTTCCTCAAAGGGCCTGTGATTTTCCCTGATGCACAGAATCTTTCTTGGCGGAGTGTGACAGAGACAGACAGGACCTACTCTTCAAGAGGAGAAACTTTAATAATGGCTCTTCTGTGTCTCAGGCTATGAGAGACTGCTCTCAACCAATGAGCCATCAGCCAATGCCCTTTCTGGTGCCTGGCCCCACTACAGCCTTGCCTTACTCCCCCAAATTCAGTCCAAACACCAATGGGTTTAGAGTTCCCTGCATATGGCCCCTAAGATCTCATTGGGAGCTCCAAGGGTTATTGGTCTAGATGGGTGGAGCTTTGGAGATTCACCCACTCTGGGGTGAGGGCAGAGCCTTATTTCCAGACTCATGAACTCTAGGCATCCCCTCTACAACTTCTCTTACAAAGAGCCATCCGGCTTCATTTGCTTGAAGACTTACAGTAATAGGGAACTCACTACCTTTCAAGGCAGCCCTTTCAAGTTTCAGACAACTCTAATTGTTAGAAAATGTTTACTTCTATTGAGCTGAAATCCTCCCTCTGAAATGTCTAACCATTCTTCTGAATTCTGCCCTCTGAGACTGAGTAGAACAAGGCTAATTGATATTCCACTTGCCAGTCCATCAAATTATTGAAAGTAGCAACCATGTCACCTAAAACCTTTTCTTTTCCAGGCTAAAATTCCCCACCCCCTTTGGAAAGAACACTGGATTTTGGTTCAGAGGGTTTGGATTAGAATCCTAACTGTTACTACCTGTGTGTGACAGGAGGCAAGCCACTTGAATTCTCTGAGCCTCAGTTTCACCCTTGTAATAATTATAACTGATATTATATCCTGTTTTAACTTTGCAAAGCATTTTCCATTTTCCATGGTCTTACTTGAGCCTCTTGCTGACTTAAGGGATCATTTCTTCAGTTATTATTATTCCCATTTTACAGATGATGAAACTGAATGTCAGAGAAGTTGAGTGACTTGTTCATAATTACAAAGTGTTAGAGGTAGGATTTGAACTCGGGTCTTCCCTGACAACAGATCTAATCCTCTATCACTTTATCATGCTGCCTCTCAACAAGACGAGAGAGTCAGACTAGATGACCTCTGAGGTGCATTGACTTTTATTTGAATTTTTGACCTCCATGAACCGTTCCTTATATGACCTGGTTTCCAGACCCCTCACCATGCTGAGTGTCCTCCTCTGGTTGGCCTATAGCTTGGAGTGTCCAAAGCAGAATACAATACTCTGGATGTGGAATAATCAGGACAGAGAACATTGCCTCACTCATTCTGGATGCTAGTTTTCTGTTAATCAAAATAGAGATCTCCTTAGTTTTTTGGCTGCTACATTAAAAAAACAAACAAGTATTTATTAAGCATTTACTTTGTGCCTAGTACTGGGCTAAGTGAGTTACAAATATTTCTATAAACCTTATAAGTAGCTGTTATTATTATTATTTCCATTTTACAGATGAGGAAACTGAGGCAGGCTGCGGTTAAATGACTTGCCCAGGGTCACACAACTAATAAGTGTCTGAGGTTAGATTTGAACTCAGGTTTTCCTCACTCCAGTGCTATATCCACTGTGCCCCCTAGCTGCCTATACTGTTATACTATTGACTCATTAATATTTCAGCTTACCAATCCACTCTGTGTTTGTGCAATTAATTTCTCAGAATATAATTGTAGGACTTTTATGTTTATTTGTATTCAATCTGTTAAAATCTTATTAGATTTATCCCATCATTCTAGCCTTTGGGGATCTTCGTGGATCCTGATTACATAATTTTACATGTCAGAAATGTGTAAGAATGCCATTTCTATCTTCATGTAAGTCACTGGAAAAAATGTTGAGTGGCACAAGGGGAAGGGCAGATTCTTGGGACCCTCCACCAGAGACCCCTCTCCAGGTTGTCATCGATTCAATAGCTGCCACCCTTTGGGCTTACTTAGTCAATCTACTTTGAATCAGCCTAAATTGTATAATCTTCTTAGCTCACCCTTTTCCCATCTGGCCCACAAAGATAGCATGAAAAACTTTGCCTAACTTATTAGTGAAATCCAGATATACCACGTCTATGACA